CTAAATAACTGCTGAAAGGGCGAGCATGTTTGGTGTGACGGGGATTCGAACCCACGATCCTCAGATTGCGAGTCGAGCGCCCTAACCACCTGGCCATGCCGGGCCCGTGAAGTGAAAGAAAATACAGCTTGCGCAACAGACGTTAATTTATCCATTCATAGTAGCATAATTTTAAGTAATTAAACAATGTTTGTTAGATGAAATATTGACTAGGGATTACATAATAATAAAAGATTGACTAGGTAAATAGAAAACAAATATTTATAATGATGGAAGTCTTAAAACACTTGTTTCTTACGATAGAAGATAGAGCATGGATATTAATAATTAACGAAGATAAAACACAGATGTAATAATGATGGAAGATATATAAGATAAACGATAGAAAAGCCAACATTTACAAGTGAATGCAATATGTTTCCCCCCACCCACTCATCTTATTCAATGTAGGTTTAAAAACATAGTGGTATTCAAGGGAGGAGAAATAAACGAAATCATATATACTTCGGAGGGACAGATCCCCTGTGGCACAGAAATATGTTTGTGGACTTAAAACGCTATAAACCGGGTTTCGATACCAGTGGTGGGCAGGGCACAGATAGCCCATTATGTAGCTTTGTGCTTAATTACAAACAAACAAATCGGAGGGATAGACACTTAACACAGGTCAGTTTGAGATTTCTTTGTGAAAAAGGTGTATTGGAGCGTATTAAGTTGCAGCTTAAGTTACAATATATATGACAGACATAGATTTACTCACAATAACAAAACTACACACGTAACTCTGGGTAAAGTAGGACCTATTCTTCGATACAGTATGTGGAATTTCATGCATTGGATGAATGGAAACTATTAATAACAACCCTTTATACGTTTACATATACATATAATGTCTGTAGATTCAGAGTTCCTTGTTACATACATAGCATATTTTTTTATTTACCTTTCACCCCCTTTAAGTTAAAAAGAAAAACATATGTGTATGGGGGGTTGTATATATATATATATATTATTTACAAGAACTTATATATAATAAGCTTTTGTAAATAAACCGTAACAAAATAATACTGCAGTAGCACTGCAGCTCAGCGCTGGAATATGACTCCGTTCTTAAAATGCACAGATTATAAAACTACACTAACTGCGACTAAGAGGACCCCAAGATGTTTACTAACTAGCAAACGTATGCAACTCTAGAAATTGTACACTGTTACTATTATTATTTTACGACTTAATTTTAAGTTTATTAACGTTTTTTACATTAACTTGGAATCTGAAACTGGATGGGCACTGGATCTAAACTGAGTGTGTAAGACCTCCTAAGGCCTCTCTCCCGAGGATCGCCGTCCTGGTTGGTATCCCTGGAACACCTGAAATGTTCTTTTATTAAATATAGTCACGGGTTCTGTTAATTGTGGAGTCATTATGGTAGTTTTTGAATTAAAAAAAACCAGTTTTGTGTATTTAAATTATTTTGTTTGGTTTTGTTTTTAAGTACCAGACAATTTTAGTAGCTTAACAGAAATGACTTTTTGTTGCTGTAGGGGTAGTACGAAGTGTGAAGAGGGGACAAGAAAAAATTCAACGAACTAACAGAATCATACAGCAGTATGTAATTAAGTGTATACTTCAGTTTGTAAAATTACATACTTCTCTTCTTAAAGTGACTAGTTGTTTATAACGCTGCTGTGTTAACGTACTTATATACATTGAAACGAGGAACATTATATGTTTCTTTAGCCACATACTCAGACAGATTCTGCATACCTACATACAAAGGTACCAGCCCAAAATTCTGTATACAATCTGAGAATGACCTTTAAAATCTCGTCTACGCCTGAATGAAGTAATGAAATAAAAACCGATGTATTCATAGTATTCTTTGTAACGACATTAAATTTTTAATCTATAAACTTTATATAATAGCATTTATATTATATGTATTCATTAATCCAAGGCTAACAATGTTTTTACTTCAGCATCAAAGTTTTATGATTAGCTACGCCACCTGTGAGCTAATGGACGTTCGTGTATGTTCATCAGCTTTTTAATTCGATAACACTTTACTTAAAAGATGTAAAAAAAACAACGGTTACTCAAAAGTTAAATAAATAAAATTTAACGTTTATATGTAATCTTTTCTAGCTCTTTCTTCTATTGACACTTTTATTTCGATAAAAAAAATGATTTTGGATTTGTGTTTGCTTGTAATTAAGCACAAAGCTACACAATGGGTTCTGTGTGCTGTGCCCACCACGGTTATCGAAACCCGATTTCTAACGTTATAAGTCCGCAGACTTACCGCTGTGCCACTGAGGGAGGACAACAATTTTGGAGAAAAGACTTGGAAAAGTGTACTTTGCTGTTGTATTAGAACGTGGGGGTATAATAATGTGACGGTCAATCCCACTATTTGTTGGTAAAGTGTAGCCCAAAAGTTGGCGGTAGGTGGTTTTCAATAGCTACCATCCCTTTAGTTTATTACTTCTAAGTTAAGGACAGTTAGTACAAATAGCCCTCGAGTAGTTTTACGCGAAGTTTAACAAACAAACAAATTGTTGTATTAGAAATTATTTATGGTTATTAGTTTTAGGCATTAAAGGACTTAAGTGTACAGTTCAGTTAAATTTTCTGTGAACCCTTTTTTTACGTTTTCTTTTTTTTGAAGAGAGACATTCTTGATCATTTTGAAGAAGAAATGTTCAAAAATAGCATTGCTAAACAAGAGGACTACATAGATGATTTTAAGAGAAACTTCAACCTATAGTTAAACTCTGCGAGTTCACTAATCAATTAAAACATGATTTGACATTTTTTAGGTCAAAGACAAGATGAAGCGCTAACCAGTCTAAAAGAAATATTTCACACCTAGAATTGATTAAAGGGTTAATTTCTTTATGCCTAAATATCTAAACCGTTAGTAATGTGCACTTTTACCTTATGGAGAGTTCGGTCGCATGCTTTGTTACAAGTACATTATCCAGATGGAATTTATTATCTAATGTAAGGCAAGGCCATTTTACCGTGTGTCTGTCATGTGTAACTGCCACAGACGGATGAATGGGTGCGATTAATTTGTGCTGAACCATAAACTTGAAAATGTGTATTATGCAGTCAGCTGCACTAACTTCAAAATGGAACGTCTCAAATGAACAAAAGTAATTAATTCTTTACGACTTTGAAGCAGTGACACTGTTTCCTCCAAGGTGGGTAGGTAGAATAGCTCTGTAGATAAGCTTCTCAAATATCGATCTTTTACTGTTTTAGATGCTAATTCAGCTTTCCTGTTTTAATAGCACTTATGTCAAAAGTTAAAAGTGACTTACGTGCCGTGTTCCGGAACTTTTTAAGAAGCTCAATCCTTCTTATAAATCACGCACGAAAAGAATTAACGAAGTAGTGGCTTTTTGAGGCAATAACTCACACAGCTTTTCTCGAAAGGTGTTACTAATGTTAAAATTTAAGCAATCTACGTTAGAAAATGTATTTCTTGAGACAGATAAGGTTATGAATACTTTATTTATTAATTCGTATAACATAAAACACAGACACATCACTACCTATTAAAAATAACACAATAACAAAAACTTCAATGACACCAAACACAAATGGTCTTCTT